ATAGAACCGCATTCCTCACATTCCCAATAGAACCACATTCCTCAAAGAACTTTTCTCATAGAACCACATTACGCAAAGAACTTTTCCCCTAGAGCTGGATTCCTCAAAGAACTTTCTCAAATAGAACTATATTCCTCAAAGAACTTTTCCCATAAAACCACATTACGCAAAGAACATTCCCTATAGAACCGCATTCCTCACATTCCCAATAGAACCACATTCCTCAAAGAACTTTTTCCCATAAAACCACATTACGCAAAGAACATTCCCTATAGAACCGCATTCCTCACATTCCCAATAGAACCACATTCCTCAAAGAACTTTTCTCATAGAACCACATTACGCAAAGAACTTTTCCCCTAGAGCTGGATTCCTCAAAGAACTTTCTCAAATAGAACTATATTCCTCAAAGAACTTTTCCCATAAAACCACATTACGCAAAGAACATTCCCTATAGAACCGCATTCCTCACATTCCCAATAGAACCACATTTTTCAAAAAACATTCTCGATACAAACAAATGCCTACAAGAAATACATTCTTTATAGTTTTATACTCCTTAAATAATTTCAATTTTCCAAAAGATTTGTATTCCTGATAGAATCACATTCCTAAAAGGAACACGCTACTTATGTAACCATATTCCAGATAGAACTTGATTCTTGAAGCAAAAATCCTAAAAGAACCAAATTCCTAACAGAAACTGTCTGCTGCCAACTATGACTTCTCCAGCAGCAGTAACGGCTTCATTTGGACCTGTTTTGGTTCTGAAAGTGAAACTAAAACCGTACGTGGAGAACTTCCTCTTCTGGACGTCTATAAGTGTTTCTGGCCCGTTCTCCCGTATGAGCTCACGTCAAGCCTTTGCTCCCCACAGAGCCGGCTCCTCCCCGCTCGCTGTTCGCCGTCAACACCACACACTCGTCTGTGACTCTGCTGTGGACCGAGGAGGGGGTGGTGGACTACTACCAGGTTCTCTGCAGACCCAACGGCCCTGGCAAGGAGTTGAAGGTAAACCAGCCTCACATTTTAGCAAAGCTGCTTCTGAGAATGTTGGAGCTGCAGATAGGAGGATCTGATCAGACTGCTGATCGGACCTTCTTTACAGAAATTCATTCTGAATGGAGGTTACGTTGCAGCTTTTTGGTTTAACTCTTCCAGCTCCGTCTGTTTATAGATCTACTGATTATCTCAATGTTTTGGTCTCATTTATAGATTAAATATTTTTATGTGACAGTTTTTATTAAGAATTTTTTTTTTATTTACGTCTTTGACTGAATTTTACTCTTGTTATAGTTATGAACTTTTTATGACGTTTATTTTTTTTAATCTAGTTTCTTACGGTTAATATTTTTAAGAGAAGGCCTCCATACCGAAGCTGCTACCCCGGATAAGCAGAAGAGGATGGATGGGTTATCATAACCTATCCACTGAGCTTTAAACCATTTGATGCAGATTAATTTCATCCTCACCCAGTTGGTCCGGTATGCTGGGATTCGGGTTAATATTCTGGTTCTGGTCTCCACTGGACGGCAACTATTAAAAATTTCTTTTGTTCTGTGAGGAATGTTTTCTGGGAGAAACGTTAAGATGATGGAGTTACAAAAAAAAAAAAATGGCATTGCAGCCTTATGTCTGATCCAGTCCTGGTCCAGAACAGAAGGTTTTCCTTTTAATTAAGGGGGATTGGAATTTGGTCTGATGAACGCTGCTCCTGCTGCTGCTACGATCTGAGCAGACATGTTGTAGGAGGATTGTTGGCTCCAACTTATTTAAGGAGAACCTGGATCAGTGTCGTCCAGGGGGGACGATTTCTAAGAAGCTAGGAAGGGAACTGTCCTTCTCAGTCAGACAGCCCAGGTAGAGGACTATATTAATGGCTTGCCAGAATATTAATCAGAATTCTGCAGTATTGATTCCCACCCAGAGGGTTGCTGCAATCCAACCTGCAGGTCTTCAGACAGGCTGCAGAGATTCTGGTTCATGGTGGTTCTGTTCCAAAGCAGAAATCCTAAAGCAGTGGATCAGACGGTCGGTTCCTCTCTGATGGCTTCTCTGGTTTGTTCTCCAGGCCACCGAGCCGATCACGTCCACCTCTCACGTCCTGACGGTCTCTGGTCTGGTTCCGTCGTCCAGCTACAACTGCACCGTGACCAGCTTCAGCTACAGCACGCCGAGTCGCCCGGCTCGGATCACCGTCAGCACTGCGGGTAGGTGGAGACAGAGACGCAGGAAGTCCACCCAAGGTCTGTGGGTTCCTGTCAGACTGGGAGATCGTCGTCCCCCAGTCTGACCAGTTTAAATGTCTCACTCCTTAAACTTTTTCTCCAGAGCTGAAAAAAAACCTCTGAAAAGTGCGGCAAGCTTTTGAATTCTGCTTCCTTTCCCTGGTGGCCCTAAATCTACAAGAATCTGCATCCAGAGGTCAACTGGTTCTTAAAACGACTCCAGCTTCCTGAACTGGACTAAATGACGACTTCCTGTCAAATCTTAGTAACTGATCCAATCAGATCACCTTCTGTCTAAACTTTATATTTATAAGGGCGGGGCCTCCTGTACATTTTTCAGATGATAACATCATTAATTTTAATCTGTTCACTTCAAAGCCATCGTGATGCTTTTATTGTGAAAATGTTGAGTAGGTTGGGATGTCTGATATAAAACCAAAGGTGAACAGAGACGATGGTTTGGGGGTAAAAGCAGGGCAGGCTCCGCCCCCTGATGATGTAACATTGTCTGTTTGTGCGTCCGCAGCCAAAGAGATGAACCCGAGCATGGCGGCCATTTCGGCTCTGGCCATCCTCAGTATCCTCCTCATCAGCCTGCTGGTTCTCTTCCTGTTGGTCCTCCGCAAGAAGCACCTGCAGATGACCAGGTAACACCTGAGCACCGCCACCGTACTGCTAGCCTGTAACCATGGTAACTGATGCCCAGGAAGCTACAAGGTCTAAGCGAGCTGAGATGTGCAGCTGGAGATTGTTCCTCAAAGTTTATTCTGAGAACATCTTAAGAACTTCCTGCTTTCAGCAGCAGGAAGTTCCTCAATTCAATTCAGTTTATTTCTGTAGCGCCAATTCACAACTCGTCCTTTCAAGACACTTTACAGTTTACCAGATCAAATTGATTCAAAGTTTGCTATTTAAGGAAAACCAGTTGATTGTATCGACTCATTGACTCGAAGGCAATCCCTCACACCAAGCATGCTTGTAGCGACAGTGGAGAGGAAAAACTCCCTTTTAACAGGAAGAAACCTCCAGCAGAACCAGGCTCATTGAAAAAGAATGATCAAATGGGGTCCCTATGTCCTCCAGCAGTCTAAGCCTATAGCAGCATATCTATGGAGATAGCTCAGGATAACCTGAGCCACTCTAACTATAAGCTTTATCAACAAGGAAAGTTTTAAGCCTAGCCTTAAAGCAGACAGGGTGTCTGCCTCACAGACTAAAACTGGTAGTTTTTACCACAGGAGAGGAGCCTGATCATTATATCTGACATTACCATCTGATTCTGAGGTGATCTGAGCTTCTTAGTTTGCACCAGTTTTTTTTTTGTTTGTTTTTTACTAAGTTTTACAAACTCCTAACGATTTCTTAGGATTTCTTTCTGAACTGAATGGAGGAGACGTTTCAGGCCCAGGAGGTGGTTCTAATGGGGTCTTCAGCCGACCCGATTGTTGGACCGTTTTTAAAGGCTTAGCCACTTCTCTACAGCTAGGATTTAGCTTTGATTACACTATAATTTTTTTCAACCGTCTTTTTTTTTATCTTGTCGTTTTTTACTTCCCTTATTCAAATTTTCTCACTTCATGTTTAGGCTTTAAACGAGTTGCGTAACCTGAGTAATTTATATCCAGCTCAGATAATTAGGCTGATTTTCTGTTATTTTTTGCCCACATCACTTCCTGTTTTTCCTGTAAACTCATCAAATATCAGTGACTTCCCCAATCCTCACACCCTGAACTGTTTGCTCTGTGTTGCAGAGACTGCGGCGCTGAAACCTTCGTTAACTTTGCCTCGTTTGAGCGAGATGGGAAGCTTCCCTACAACTGGTACGCTGCTCCTCTTCTTCTGCTCATGGGCGCCGCAGCAGCAGGCGGTTTGGTCTGTTTTCACCGTTGGTTTAGCATCACTTCCTTATTTCACAGCTGCACACACCCAACAGGAAGCAGATTAGTGCTTGGAGAGATTGATGAGGCAGATCAGGGTCTGAACAGGCAGCTCTGGTTTAAACTCTCTGGCCCTTTAAGAGGATGATGATGATATCAGAAGCTGTTTGTTGAATATGAACGCTCAGATTTAATCTGCTGCTTTGAGAACCAGCTGGCTTTTAAAAATCTCTGAAAGCAGAATTGAGAGCTGTCCTTTCAAAGTAAAAGAGCAGCGGCTGCTGCGGGTCTCTAAGACGGCGCCGCGGATGAAGGTTCTGGTTCTTGTGGTTAATATAAGAGCTGAAAGACGGTCAGTGAAGGCAGAATCCTCCATGTGCCGACCCCCCATCACTAAACGCACATTTCACCGCCTTATTGTTGCAGCACAGCCGTGGTTCTGCTTTCTCGTGCTTCTGGCCCGGCTCGCCCTGTGGGTGTGATGAGGAGACCTGCTGACCGCTCTGAGGCAGGATGAAGATGTTAGGGTTTAGTTCCTGTTGAATCCTTTTCCTTTCATAACTGCCGGAGGATCGGATAGGTTCTGTCAGGTTCAGACATGTCAAACCTTCGCTGGATCCAGTTTGAACCAACTTAACGTCCTGAAATGGGACAAAAC